CGCTGTCAATTGTCAGTTAGAAAGTATTAGAATTTGTCTACTAACTGACAACTCACAGTGAGTGGCATCGTTCCGCTCATGTGGTGGTGGACTGGCCTCTGAGGACGACGATCCTGTCGAAACGTCAGGCCATTTATAATAAAGTCTTCCACCTACCAACCTCTTTGGCAGAACAAATTACAACTTAAAGTTCACAATAATGCCGAGGTTTTATGAAGAGAGAAGCTGGACTCTATCACTCTATTTATGCTCCCGCTTCATGAAAGTGTCACAGTCTTCTCTCCCTGGCCTTCAATATGTTCTTGGTGAAATACAAGCAACGTAGGGGGCTGGACAGCTCTACGAAGCAGTATAGGCCGCGCCATCATACTCACGATATTGTCTAGCGAAATATTAGAGCACGGGAAAAATCTCCCTCCTTTAAATCATTTTTGTCTGCTCCCAATAATGAAAAAAAAAACTTCAAAGTCTGTGAAATCGTTCAGTACTAGTTGAGTGACTGATTTTTCGGAAGAGGAACTTGCTTCGGTCGGGTTGCAGGGTCAATTCCTCAGAGTCTCAGAAATACCGGATTTGGGTTACGAGTAGTCACTTCGAGTGTTTTCTTCAGACACCACTCTTCACTGGAAGGGAGGCTATTGAACTACGCTTCTAGTTCTATCTATGCTATAGCAGGGTTTCCAACAGCAACAACTCACTTAGCTGCGAATTCGCAGTGTCTGACGAGAAGTTGTTTTGCACTGATTGGTTGATTCAGAAGCATCTGCGACAGCCGCTTGGCATTGTGAGAGAAGCTAAAACAATCCCACATCTGTAGTACGGTTGATCTGCTTATTGAAAGGCATGCTGTTTTCACCAAAATAATGTAGTGCTTCATAAAAGTATGGCAATGTTCTACCTTGCGTCATTGAAGATTTTTTTGAGAGCTTTCGTGAGCATCTGAGGATGCTCCAGAGCAAGCTTAGATAGAACGATACCTCCACCGTGTTTCGCAAGCATATGGGCATTTCTTGTCTGATCAGCAAAAAGAGGGACCTCAAAGTAGAAAAAATTAAATTATATTTATTCAGAGAGTATTGAGTACTAGTACTACTACAACCTACCAGTATCGCGGGCTTTCCCAAATGAGCGAGTTCTGTGGTGCTGCCTAAGCCTCCATGAGTGATGAAAGCCGTAAGGCGGGGATCGGCTGAATTGCTTTTTGTTACTGCACGTTAATCTTTCACAACTTTCATATCTTTTGGATACCGATACCCCGCTCCTTATCAAACTGGGACGATAGGTCCTCTTCTCAAGATAATCTTCCCCTTATCGTGAAGATTATCGTTTAAAAGGATTACACGTAAACTACAAGAAGATAAGTGGAACTTCAGCGAGTGAGTGAAAAAATGACTTCATCCTTCGAAAGTCTTCTCTTACTTCAAAAAGTGAGACGGCTTTGATTATCTGAAAACCTCACACAGACATATGCCTATTACTCTGGCATCTGTTTCAGTTTTTTGCTTCTCCTCCGTCTGACTATGGAGGCCACGATGGATTTCCTGTAGCGGCCACCTATCCAGCAATTGGTTTATCGAAAAGATCTCATACAACAAACGAAAAATCATAATACCAAATGGCACCCGTCAACTTCTCCACTGGGCCAACATGAACTATTGCTCACTCTGTTTTCGCAAAATTAACTACCCCTAAGCGTATTGTTCACGAGCAAAAGGCAGAAAAGCAAAAGCAAAAAGTCCACGAACCCTTTCCATATCAAAATGTCTTCTGAGATACGGTCCACTCTCGAATGCCCCTCTTACTTCACCTCACTTTCTCGCTTGTTTCCATTCTCAGACTGTTTTGTTGTTTATCGGAGCGCTGCACTGTTGCAGGTGATGAGAAAAGAGGTAGAACTTAGAAACAAGATATGCCCAAAAATGGCTTCGTTCCACATACATTATCCCATAAAGAAGATCCTCAACGATGGTAAGCGTGCATGTTCTTTAACATTTCCCCTTTTTCTCTCGAATTTCCGCCTTACGTCAATAATTTACTTACCGAGAAGAGCGTTCTGTGGTACCCACGTGCTGAACGTGAACATTCTCGAGCTGAGCAGCTATTTGGAGCCTTCGGCTTCGTATTTCCATATAAACGTTGTTTCAGGCATGCTCTTGAAAACTTCAAGGAGATTTTCTCTTAAAGAAGTGGAACTTGGCAACTTTTTTCTTTTCTCATGTGCTCCATAACCACCAATGTTCGCATTTACTCCACGATTTGCTTCGTCATTTTCATGCTAAAATAGCGGCACAAAGGAACTCACTTGTACTCATCTGGCATGTAGATTGCCTTGGCCACTGAACCGAATGAGACCAGTACAGTCGTGTTTCTCTCGTTCAGTATGCTATCCCACTTCTGCAAATTTATGTCTACCAAGAAAGCTGAAAGCAGAATGGAAGGACTGACAACACTTGCACCTTTGACAGCTCATTTTTCTTGGGATCAATATGGACAGCGATTCCACCAATAGGTACAGTTTTATGGAGCATAGGACGAGGATAGTCCAGGTATGGATTTGAGTTGGTGAACACATACGACGTATCAGCGAGAATTTCCTAGCAAGAAGATTTTTGAGTGAGTCTCTTTGATTGCTCATGAAAGAACAAAACAAAGTAACAAAGTTCTAATTTAACTGAAGGTATTTATTTGGAGGCTGTTAACCACCACTCATTCCAGGGCAAGCATGTTCAACATAGTCCTTTCGGAAAAACTGCTGCTAAGGAATAAAATCCTCATCCATGCGTGTTTTCTTCTTCGCAAGATTCACAAACCAGAAACGATGAAAAGGAATAAGACTGAGTTTCCAACTGAGAACACCATTAGGTGTTAGGAAGCCTTCATCTGCAAACCTGCTATTTTTTCATCTCAATAGCGTTCCATGGAGTTGGAATCATTTTGTTGCGGAATAGGCTCACCAGAGTGGAACAAGTTTGCGGTTGCTAAACCAGTTTTGAGCTAACCTCATAGTTCTTAAATTTTGGGCCGAACTTTTCCTTGAAGACATGGATTTCTTTTGTGAACAAATCCCCAAAAAGTTTCTGTGCCATGATCATCTCGGCGAAGTTTTTTAGGCGATCGACGAGACCCATTTGATCACCACTAGTAGCCATTCCTCCTGAAAAAAATTTCCCTCTATTCTATAGGTGTATCTCGAAAGAACAGCCAACACAAAGCTTGGTCAGTGAATTCCTAGCCTCATTCTTAGACATTGAAGATTATAGAGGACAGAAAAGTCAATATTGAATGGGTTGAGCGAGGCGATTCTTTAATTGGATACAGGGTGCAGCATCGTGATGTGTGAAA